AATACAATTAACAGAGATACAACGTATGACAGAGCGACTCCGTGAGACTGGAGGGCTCCTGACTTTCATCAGGCTTGTGTCAGCTCCTGCAGCCATCTCCAAAAGACAATAAATGCCAAGGTCCAGCTCTTAAAATTAGAGGTCACTTAGATACTTAATGATGAAGCATATCCTCAAATATATATCTATTATTATTATCCTAGCAAAAAATTAATTAACCAGGTCATACAGGCCATGAAGGCTAATGTACAAAGTAATTATTTCTGATCCTTAGACAACTACTATGCATGAAAAGGTAGTCCTTATTCTGCTCAGCAGATACCTGAAATGCCTATAGTTAATCATACTGAAGGAAAAAAAAGGCAAGGTTTATCTCCTTATAAGGTGAGAGTAGGTCTCAAATTATTCTCTTTAATGGTTTAAGAACAATCATCTCCTTTTTTATAATATTAGCCTCTCTCCTGGTTAGCAGACAGGAGGAAGAAGAATGCATATCGAATGGTGCTCTATCCCATGACAGACACACAGAGACACACAAAATATATGAAAAGCACACAGGAATATATTATAGCCAAAATAGAAAATACTGTGTATGAAAAATACTCGTATACTCTCAAGAGCAAAATGAAGCTTCAGGGAGGAGAAAAGCACTTGTAAATAAGCAGCCTGTAATACAGCATTTAAAGTAGAAAGCTTTCAGATGAGATAGAGTATGTGGAAAGCAGCAGCAATGGCATTTGCCATCTAATGGAGTTTGCCATCTAATGCATGTATGAAATGATGAAGAAAGGAATACTGTACATTCATCACAAAGATTAAAATTCATAAAGATTAACAAAAAGATAAGAATTTCAAGTTTCACAATTATACTAAAAAAGGCATGTGTGGATGAATTCACTAAATCATTGGATCTGACCCAGAAAGCCAAATGCCCCAATAATCCCCCAACCAGCCAGCCCAGTGTTAGGAGACCAGTGTGGTTCCATCAGTGATATGATACACTGCCCGCATAGCACACAATATAAGCCACTTGGACATCTCTAAGATTGGGGTTTGAAGAGACATGAACAGGGAGAAAACACTGTTCATGTCTAGAAAAGTAAGTTTCTCACTGAGATATCTTCTTCCAAAGATTAAGCTTTAGCAACAAAATGCCAATATTAAGTATGTTCCTGGTAATGTGCTATTGAAACCAAAGAAGACTATCTTCTCTAGATTCAAGAACCATGACATGGGCAGTCGAGGTTGGATCAAGAAAGCAGGATTTATAAAGTATTTTCTCCTTTTCTTAGATTAGCCTTCTATTTAGTAGCTGATTAAAATACTGTACATATACTTTGATATGTCCAATAGATTAAAAGTGAGTTTTGTTGACTGGTCAACATAAATAAAATGCTTCAAAAGACTGGCTAAGATACTTGAATGCAATGGTGGGGAGCAAGGAAGATGATATGACCAAAGCAGTTACCTGTCTTTTGGAATTAAAGCACAGGAACCGACATTCCCAATTCCAGGGACCCATGTTCCATCATCTATTATTTTGGCTTTCCGTAGACTTGATGAAACTGCTATTTCTGTCCAGGAAATATCAAAAATGTCTAACTTTTTCTGGGCTCTATATCAGGGGAATTACTTAATAGGAAACAAATTAGAGGAATCACCATTTTCCCCAAAGCACAAACAGAGGGATTTGAATTCACTAAGGAAACAGCCTCCTAAAAGATCTGTTAATATTAAAACATTTTAATAATCATTTCAAGTTATTACACTGATTTTTTAATGGCAAAAATTGACTCATCAAAAATATAAAAACATTGGTTCACAAAACTCATTCATCTTACTTTCTCAACATGGCTTACATAGTGCCTCTTTCAAAATTTAGTTAGAATTTATTAAGGCAAAATTATGTCAAAAATTGTATTTAAGGAAGAAAAATATATAAGTGAAATGGGTTTTAACTACACATTTAAGTTTTGAATGATTTCACATAATAAAGACATGCGACTTCTACAATACTGTCTTCATCATGCCTCTTCCTACCTCTAAGGAAAAATCCTGCTTTTCACTCTTTGTAAACCATTCCGGTTTTCATTTGTTTTGATTATAATAGGCCCAGATGTGTTGGTGTGTGGTTATTACAAGAGGTTAGACAGTCCTCCCTTCCTTTATATTACAGCTTGAAAATTCTGAAACAACAAGACTAATTCACATGTCGGCATTCTGAACTAGAAGTAGAGTGCAATCTTGAATGTAACCCCCTGATCCATAATCAATTGCAGCTCTCCATAGCCAATTGCCATGCCTTAATCTTGCTGACCATGTTAGCTAACAGGTTCTAGCACTCAAGATTTGAAAAGAAGAAAGAAGGTCAAACTTGGCTCAAATCATCTCTGTATACGTTCACTTTCAGAAGAAGGTTTTGCACTCACCTTACTTTTACTCTTTATTCTGGTTTGTTTTCAAAAGGAACAATGTGTCTTTCATGATAGAAAGTGTTGGAAGCATCTCTTAAATCTCATATTTTGCTCAAAAAGTATACTAAAATTAGCCCAATAATAATCTCTTCTAAATTTGATCATGACGATAGCTTGTCAAAACCGTATTTGAAAATACAGTTAACCCATTCCCCTTGCAGAAAAAAAATAAGTAACTAAAAGTCTGAATATCAAATACCTGTTTCATAAGTGTCAGAGATGAATATGTTTTGTGTAAGGAGTGTTTTTCAGCATTTCAAAAATTCTTTGAATGGTCTATACTGATAAGATAAACACTGAAAAGATATGAAATAACGCAGTAGCTCAGGACAGAATGAACTACAAATACAGGTTATTGCTTCCTGTTATTTTTTAAAATATGAATTCTTATTATGAAGATTCCTACATATCTACAATGAATGCAACTCTGATACTTTGAATCTCTCTGATTTTACTATTTGTACAGCTGAGATCAAGTGCTGATTATCTTCAATTTTTAAAAATTTAAACAATAATATCCACAGTTTTAAAAGCAATTAAACTTCTATTAAAAAGCTTGAAAAAACAATTTCCCATCTTCTCAAATTGAACATTCTAATAAATAATATTTTAACATCATACTCTATAGTTTCTTGAAAAAAGGCACCAATTTCACATAGTAAAGTTGTAACTATAAAATCCTATGCAATCAGTAAATACTAATAATATTTCATAAAAATTGCCCTGAACTGATTAGGTCGCTATTCATCTGACATCCTCAGTACCAAAAAGCAAACATCAATTAAGACAGCCACTTCATATAAACAACAGTGGACGAAGGAGTGAATATATATTTTGATATAACAATATATCAAAATAAATAAATAAATAAATATAAAGATAGAGTAAAAACATTAACAATAAGTAACTGATAAATCAGGGAACATCTCAGGAAAGTTCTTTCATTCCTGCTTTAAAATAGGAGAAAGAGAGAGAACTAAATGATCAGGTTATTTAACACCTACTGAGTTCTTAGAGAGGAATCTAGAGAAAAATGTAGGAAACCACAGGCTAAAAATCTTGACCCTAGCAGTAGGAGACACACTGAAAATTCTAATAAGGGCAGAACCAAGGAACACCTGGACAGTTATTTAATTAGGAATCACAGCATGAGTCATAAAATAGATATCAGGATGAGAAATTATCCCAAGATTTAATTGTAAAAGCTGACTGTCAAAAATGCCTGAGACATTCCATCTCTCCTGTATTTGGACTCTTTATTTTGAAACATACACACTTACATAGGGAAGACAGAATCAGAATGGATTAAATAGCAACAATGAAGACACTGGCTAAAACCTTTGGGTAAAGATAACTGGACAAAATGCCAAATGAGGTCCAGGGACTTACTCAAGCACTAAGCTGGGGTACTTTAAATGGAACACCAAGTATAACTAACAAATGAAGCAAGGCTCTATGTTAAAATCACTGGCTTTCACCAATGAAAGAGTAGAAGAGTAAACTATGACTTCACGCGATTGATTTTTTTTAAACATACAGGAAGGTGTAATATTAAACTCAAGCAAAGGAATGCCATAATTCACAATATACCGCCCCAACTGGGCTGCAACACAAATTGCAGAGGTTAGAAAACATCCACAGTAACCAAGAGAAAGCACTGAGGTTGTGGCAGGTAGACAGAAGTCTGGAATGAGTATTCCTCAGGATTAATCACCAGACAACCAGGTCTGTATTCTACGGTTTTCTAGAAGTCACATACCCATGTTCCTTTTCAAAAAATGGAGGTCTCTTCCCTTACCTATCTCAGATAGGTGTTAGTTACATTAACCATCAAGTGTCTAAAGGAACATCAGAAATCAGAATTCCTTCCCAGACCATTGCAATCATGATCTATGTACCATATCATACTGCCACAACAAAAAAAGGGATTTTTAAAATTGTGTTAAAATTATTTGGGAACAAGTCTTTCTTCCTTCCTAGACTATAAGCTCCTTGAAGACACATAATTATTCATTGATCTTTCTATTCCCCTCAGCATCCAGCAAAAATGCAGTGAATATTTATTAAAAGCCAAATTAATTGTTATGATCTCTTCCCAGGTTTTAAGACTTGTCTCATAATTGACCCAATCAGACAGTCCTAACAAGGAAATAAGCGTCAGCTTCTCCCTATGATGCCATTAGATGGTAAAATACAAAACAGAAAATGGTTTATGGCAATAAAAACAGCACGTGTGTGCTACCTTTGAAACCATTTAGATTTCTACTGGGTGAGGGTTGGGCAAATGGCAACAGGAAAAAGAGATAAGGTTTATTCTGTGTACGCCTCATATCCGAAAAGAATGCTTAGACCACCATGTGATCGTGATGGATGTTTCTTACATCCATGTATACAACTGTACATCGTTGAGTAACAGCCCTGTTGGTACTGTTGACAAGAGAGGGGTGCGTTTGCCACATTTTCATTCCATTTGCAAGGAGGAAAGTATCTAAGTACCATCAGCCGAGAGTAATAAAATACACTGACCTGGATCTGTTGCTGCAGGAGATTAATTTTGTGCTGCTGCTGCAGAAGTTGCTGCTGTTGTCTTGCAATCTATCAGAAATAAAGTTTCGTTAAGTTCAAATGAAATGCTTGCACCTTTGCCATTACCCCAGGTATCTCTCTTGGAATGACAAGAATGCTTTACTGCACTTCTGTGTGAAAGAGTTCCTATAAAATGAGAGAGGCAGACTTAGTAAGCTGGAGAAAATGAAAAATTTCAAACAGGTGTCACTTCTCTGCTTACCCCCTAAATCTTTCTCTGTAGGTGAACAGTGCCCTTGTATGACACTTGGGAGCGGTTCATCCATATCTGCACTGGTCATCTGGAAAGAGTGGGAATGTCGAAATCTGATCTTTGGAGAATAAAGACAGGAAAACTCTGGCTACATTTTTCTCAAGAGCTTGATTTGGATGTAAAAAGTAAAATCTGTAAGCAAAGCCGGGAAAGAATTTTCTATTCCTTGCGGTCTACTTTGGTGCAACCTTTTCTGAAGGAAAGATTTCCAGAACTGATACAACTTACAAATATTGTCAAGGGAGTGCCAAAAAAGCAGCAAAAATTCAGAAATCTTTTTGTTGTTGTTGTGGATGTTACATGTACAAAGCACTTCTTAAAAACAAAATTTAATATTTATCCTTTTGAGGGGAACGTGTTAATTTTAAAGTTCAGGATCCACATAAAAGTTTTACATTTCCTTCCTTCATCCAACAATCAAATCCAACATGTGAACGTGTCATCTGGTCTCTAGAAGAAATATTAGCCACTTAATGCAAGCCCTGCTGAGGACTGAGTCTGCCCCTCAGAAGAGCAAGCAACTTCTTCGGCATAATTGTATTTACTATAAAACATGAGCTAGGCATTAGGCTGTCTACTGCCTCAAAAGCTGGAGCCCCGAGGTTGGGACGGGGCGGGGGGTTGGGAGGGGAGGGGCGCGCTCAACCTACTCACTGCCCACACAAGAAACCAGTCGGAAAAGTGGCCAGAGACTACTTAGAAGGACTTGGTTTTGTAGTGCTCTAACGGCAAGAGTTATGGTTTTTTCCTTCCTATTTCTTCTATTTCCAAAAGCCTATATTCTAGAATGGGCAACCTTGGAATTGGAAATGAATATGGATCAGCCCTCAGCAGTATATTTCTTGAGTCTTTTTGATGCTTCAGCCCAGAGCAGAGGGAAACACCCAAATCACATTTCACTCAGCCCAAGATAACAAAACATAGCTGTCTACTCCCAGATGTTGCTTTGTGGTTTCTGGTGATGACTGGCTCATACTGGAACTCATGATAGAGCTGCTGCTATCACAGGCTAGAGTTTGAGGGATGAGACCACGCCTTCTCAAAGCTTCTTAAGCAAAATGGAAACTGTGTCTAATCAGATTGGAAAGGCCCAGTCTGCTTGTCACCATTCAAATCAGAAACGGACAACTCGGCAACTCTAGGTATAGATGCTGGATCCTCAGAATATTTATTTCCTCTTAGCAAACCAGTGAAACACTACTAGGCATCTAATACTGATGGTCCCTCCTAAATGATAAAGTGCTGCATAGAAATGCATCCAAAACACCACAGTGCAATTACTATCATCCAGACGTATGGCTTTGACACAGTGAAGTATGGTACATAAGCACCATGTGGCTCAAATTCTGAATTTTATTTGCCAATCGGTTGAGCTACATGCTCGCTTCATTGAGCATGACAACCTAGTTTTAAGTGTCATTTAATTTTCATTTTGAAATATAATTACAAAGTGTTCACTGTAAGATATCACTCGTCTGCAAATGTGTCAAGATTAATTTGTGCTAGCTTATTCACAAGTGTCAATAGTTAATTACTGTGTCATCTCTGGATGGCTAAATGACATTCTAACTTCTGATTTTTTACAGTGTTCCTTTATGTTATTTTCCATTAGGGGCTGAGTCCATATTCCTACATGTGGGCAAATATTCAAGCATATAAAATACCAGACGTCACAACTCATTAAAATCAACAGAGCATATATTGCTCTATATACCCCTATAAAATACATTTAACTGAAAAGATAATTCCAGTAATAATGTCAGATTCCTAAAAACTGCACATTAATTTGGGTCTGTCTGATCTAAAGCATCAGGGACTACTCTATAGGATCATTGTTGTTAGATTAATGTACTCTTGTGAGACAGAAAAAACATTTGGGAAAGTGATATATTTTTTAAAAGATCTATATTTAAACTTTGCTTTTTCTTCTTCCTTCTCACATCTAAATCAGTGAAATCAAATTCTTGGAGGAGCCATGTGCTAATTTGTTTTCAATGATTTACCTATGCTATAAATAGAGTGACCATATAATTTATATAATTTATCATTCAAACCAGGACAACTTTTGCAAGTGGAATAGGGGGTTATTAATAATCACTCTGGAAAACAGGCATTAGCCAGGGCTATTCTGGGAAAACTGAGACCTACGGCTACCCCAGCTTTATAGTCAGAGAATATCATGGGACCAGTAAGCTTAAAGATCCTCAAAGATTTTCTAGACCAGGACCCTCCTTTTCTGGATGAGAAGAGTAAGGCCTGGAGAGAAGCAACTCACTCTTGGTTAAGCTTGGAATCACTCTTGGTTAACATGAGGAATACGTGTGATGCCCACGTGAGTAAGTCCCTAAGTAATTAATCAAATCCAAATGTTCTGGAACCATGTTCTCACTTCAGTTATGCCCGGTTGCTATGGTGCCTTTCTTTGTCCTTCACATACCATCTCAGTATTCTTGAAAACCTTGGATTTTATTTTTAGAAGGCTTCTTCCTTTCTTTCCTTCTTTTTTTTTTTAGGAATGCTTATGACAAATAAGCCAATCAATGTGATTACTCGCTGAGCTTGGCACATTCCACATCTCCAGTTCATCAGCTCCTTTTGCAGGGCTCACCTGTTCTTGCTGTTGGCGAGCAAGGTCCATTTGCTGCCGTTGTTTCTCAATTTGCGAGGCTGCCAGTTTCTTTTGTTCGTCATGCGCTGCCAGGAGCTGCTCCCGTAAACTGATCAGCTGCGTAATCATAGTAGAGAGCTGCCGTTCTTTTTCTGCCAGGCTCTCGGGTGTACCTGAAATGGAAGTGAGAAGATAGCTCACAAGTTTGAGAAAAGCCTGAATGAATTGGGGAAAGGGGGAGGGCAGATTCAGAAAGGTACTACCTGAAGGCACTTAATGATCCAGGACAGTAACTGGAGGTTACTGTGAGTATAGGAACGCTACAGAATATGGATGGAATGAACACAAGTTAGTCATCGCCCCTGCCAAGAAAAAGTATGGTCACAATAAAATTCTCACTCTTCCCTCTTGCTCTTTAAACCAAAACAAAACAAAAAGCAGAATTACCCCCATCCTCACCCTTTTATCATATTCCTCTTCCTCTCCCCTTACCCCTCCCAAATCTATCTGATCAAGCTAAGGAAACCTATGATATTTAATACCAAAGATTAGAAAGTATAGGTTCTGTTAATATTCTATAATATTAGTTATCTCTACACCTCAGTGACTAACACAGGATCGAGACCTAGTAGGTGCTTAATAAGTGTTATTTAAGGAATTTTCCAATCATTGCTCTCATAAAACTTTTCTGTTGTGTAAGGACCTGTCTCTGAAGTCAGAAGCTATTCTCTTGGCCATGGAATGAGTTCTACAGAGAGAGGGGAAAACAAAAACAAAAACAAAAAACAAAACTCCCTTGCCTCAGGTAAGAAAGGATTGAATCTGATTTTTCCCCCTTGTGAGGGGATCAAGCTAAAGTTCTCAAGTTCATCCTTAAAGGCAACGATGTTGCTTAGGGAGCTCCTTCACCCTTTTGTCATTTGTCATTCTTCAAAGGGAAAAAAAACACGTGTGAGGTTGAAAAGGTTATGCATAAGGATGTGCTGTTTAATGAATACGGTGTCGCTGAACACTTATGGTATGCACTAATGGTGCTGAACAGTCTTTTTATGGGCAAATTGCACAGCTCTCCTAAGTAAAGGGTACAGAATCCTTTTGTGAATCTAAATTAGAGTATTTACCACAGCATAAGAATTTCAACCCACTGTATTTGAGCCACACAGGTTTCATTATGAAGAAATGATCTATGATTTGAAAGCTTTTCAGAAAGATGCCACCAGCTGTCAAAGGGGACAAAGATTGCCGATGTGTGTGTGTGTGTGTGTGTGTGTGTGTGTGTGTGTAAGAGGAGACTTCCAAACGCCTTATGAAATCCCCCTCATTCCTGCTAAGAAAGCACCGGGACAGTTTGAGAAACTAACACTATTCCAATTAGCAGTGGTCCTATTTTCCAAGTGCCCCCATGGACAAAGGGAGCCTTCAGAGGATGTCGGTGAGTCCTTGCTAGTATATGATTCCCAGAAGGTAAAACTGATATCAGCAGAGAAGTTATGGCACTTAAGGACTACCTTGGGGTTTGTAATGCCAATTCAAGTCCTTAAAAAAATAAAGAAACAAACAAACAGCCAATACCCCATGTCCTTAAAGATTCACTGAATTGAAAGATGGCCTAAATTCAAAATTAGAAGAAAAATTAGATAGTGAGATGATGTTAGAAAATGTTTTCTACTGACAAAGGCACAAATACTGTATTCAGCTATTCTTTCCAGCTACTGGAACTGATTTTTTTTTTTTAAGATTTTATCTATTTATTTGACAGACAGAGATCACAAGTAGGCAGAGAGGCAGGCAGAGAGAGAGAGAGAGAGAGAGAGAAGCAGGTTTCCTGCTGAGCAGAGAGCCCGATGCGGGACTCGATCCCAGGATCCTGGAACCAGAGCCAAAGGCAGAGGCTTTAACCCACTGAGCCACCCAGGTGCCCCTGGAATTGATTATTTTTAATGAGTTTTTATTTCAGCAATAAGGATTTCAGCTTGGTAAAAAAGAACTTCTTGATCGAAATATTAAAACACAAAAGCAGGTTCCCAGAAGGAATCATAAAATTTCTTCAAAATTGCAACAAGCTCAATTAATTCATGTGTTTATATATATACATATATATATGTATATATATATATATATAGACACACAAATGTATATATATATGAATGAGAAAATACAAAATAAATATGAAATGTATTTATTTACTCATTTTATTCATTTCTCATTGAAAAAAAAAATACTTCCTGAGTCGCAGCTATGTGTCAGGTACTATATAGAACTAAGGATACTGACACCACGGCAAGAAAAAGCAGACAGAATTCCCTACTCTCATGCACTTTGTAGTTCTAAAGTAGGGAGACAGCTTAAACAAGAAATTATACATTTAAATGTAAACTATAACTTTAAAAGTATGACAAAATGATAGGTATTTGGGGGTACGTTTAAACAAGTTTGGGAGGCCCAAGTGTAAGAAAGATAGAATGAAAAAGTAACAAATTAACAGTAGGATGAATAGAAGTAACTAGTCAAAGAGTTGGAGGGTGGTCAAGAAGCTTTACAGCAGAAACAAAATAGGAAGAAGCCCTAACACAGTGGGGGAGAGTTCCAGTGTGTTCCAGAAGTTGAAAGAAGATAGCAAAATTTGAGCAAGTAAAATTAAAGCAAGGAGTAAAGTACCGGACAAAGTAGGAAGTTCACACCATTCAGGCCCTAATTACCATGCTTGATAAACTTCATATTTATTCCAAGAGTATTTCAAAATCACTACAGTATTTTTTTTTAAGATTTTATTTACTTTTTTGACAGAGAGAGATCACAAGTAGGCAGAGAGACAGGCAGAGAGAAAGGAAGGGAAGCAGGCTCCCTGCTGAGCAGAGAGCCCAATGCGGGGCTCAATCCCAGGACCCCGGGATCATGACCTGAGCCCAAGGCAGAGGCTTTAACCCACTGAGCTACCCAGGCACCCCTCACTACAGTATTTTAGATAAGGGATGAATGATGTGGTCAATCTAGCTATGGTGTGGGAAATAGTTTGGAAAATTGTAAGAAAAGATCATTAAGATATACACACACATTTTATTACATATATTTTTGGCAATATTCTGATCTACCTGTAATTTTCTTTCTATACCTATCTATATGCAGTGATTTAAGAGAGGGGTTAGGAGACTCTGGGAAAGTCACTGTACTACAATTCTTTGTTAATAAAGAAGAGCATTTATAGGAAACTTTGGGCAAGGACCAATACAAGGGCAGGATTCAGCACTTAGATTCCCCAACACACTGGAAGTTTTCCTCTTCTCCCAAGTTAAACAATGTTGTTTTAACAATCTTCAATATAGTCCCATTTTTCCTCTACGCAGGAAACAGAGAAGCTGAGGATAACATATGTCTCCTTAGCTTCTTCTGCTCAAGGTGAAGCCAACAGGTCTATAAATGCACTGGTGTTTCCAATGCTAATAGACACGTATACCTGCACTTACAGAATACCACAACTGAACTGAAGCTTTTTACAAATCATTAATGATATTCAAGCTGGATGATGTAAAAATTCAGTGACATCTAAATAAACTTTTCAAAAAAGCAAGCCAGAGAGCAATATTTTTAAGTGGAAATTTTAGGCATTCATATGAGACTGCCACTCTCTTCTCCTTAATTTGAGGAGCACATATATATTTTTTGAATAGATATGAGTGGCATAATGAATGCAGTTGGAATGAAATATAGTAGCAAAACAAGTCTCAAATTCCCCCCTCAATGGAGAATTTATATATCTATCTATACATATAGATACATATAGATAGATCTAGATACAGATATATATCTAGATAAATATACATACATACATATAGATAGAGAGATATCAATTAGTCTCTTGTGAGTCAAATTAAGGAGAGATCAATTTACACCATACAATAGCTTATACTCTCTAAAAGTGTAGGCCACTTTGTTCCAATATGCATGGGCATGTGTGTGTGCATGTAGGTTATCATTTTTCTGTTTTATACCTATTGTATTTATTTGTATATAGTGGTTTAAACCAAGGTATTTAAAACCTGTGGTACTGGATTTTTGTTTTAATTAACAGCAAACGTTTATGCCTCTGTAATAAAAAATAACATTGAATCTCAATCACATTGATCAACCAACCTGTGAACACAAGTTTTTTCAACTCAAAAATTACTAGTTTAATTGAATATATAACTTTGCTTTGGCAAAAAAAACAAAACAAAAAAAAAAAACCCACAAAACCCTATACACAGTCCTTAACTTATAATGGTTCAACTTAGAATTTTTTTATTTTATGATGGTGCAAAAGTGATACGGATCCAGTGCAACAGGGAACAATAGTCTCTCCAGATGCTGAGCAACGGCAGAGACCTTCAGCTCCCACTCAGCCACACAATCATGGGGCAAACAACCAATGCACTTCAATCGTACTACACCCATATGACCATTCTGTTTTTCACTTGGGGGATGGTATTCATTAAATTACATGAGACAGTCAACACATAATTAGAAAAATAGTCTTGATGTTAGACGATTTTGCCCAAGTGTAGGATAATGTAAGTGTTCTGAGCACACCGAAGGCAGGCTAGGCTGGCGCTCCGTTCGGCGGATTATTTTGGACTTAACGATATTTTCAACTGAAGATGAACGTCACTCCATCATAAGTCGAGGAAGACCTGTACAACTGCCAGAGTTGTTGAAAATGTAGACAAATTATGGGGCACGGTCGGGCTACCTAAATACCATCTGGCTATGTTCAAGGCAAATGACCATATAGAATGCTCTTATGAGGTAACTTAACTAGATGTAAAAAGTCTTATCTTAAATGGTGTTCTGAGTTTTGATAAACTCAACTTAGAAGAGGAGCTCAGATCCAGAGGATCTGCCCAGGCCAGCAGAGGTCATCAGTAGCTGCCTAACTGTCGTCTGCTTCACATCCTTCAGGCTATCTCAGAATCTCTAAAAAGCATTGCCAGGAAAGTCTTCCCCACACAAAAACAGAGGTAGTTTCATAAACTGCAAAGAGGGAACCAGCAAAAAAGCTTCTGTACACAGCTTCTCTACAAGTCAACGTGCCTGCTTTTATCCAATATCGCACACAGTGAGCGCCCGACACTCTCCGCTGTAAACTGTATCTATTCTCCAACTCCAAAGACAGTGCAGCAGGTTTTTGTTTTTTTTT